CATTGAGCTTTTGAATACTTTGCCAAACACAAATCAACAAATATTTACAACGTTTCTCTTTCATATTTTCCCCTTCTATTTAATTGAGCTTAATTCTCTCTTGTTCATCTTAATTTTGGATAAAAAGGAAGATAAACTGATCGTTAAGAGAGTTGTAGCCCAGTGATCCACTGATTGTAACACGAAATGATTTTTCAGTTTAATAAAAATACTATTAAAAAGGCCTTTAAAGACCACTTTAAAATAATAAAATATTTCCAAAAAGTAAAAATCGTGTGTATACACTAGCTGCCTAGTTTCTATTACTAGCTATTCTACTTCTTGTTTCATTCACTGATTTAACAACCGCATACCGGGAGCCTGTCACGTACCAGGTGCTGCAGACACTGCAGGAAACAACAAAGGTGGAGTGGTTCTCAGCGCATAGTGGGGACAAAGGCAAGAAAGGAAATAAGTGTGGTGTGGTGCACAGCCTATCAGATGGTGACGGGCGTCACAGAGAAAAAGAAACCGGAAGAGAAAAGGGCAATACCGGACAGGAGCACTTCCAGTGTGTATCAGGAGTTCAGGGAAGGCCTCCCAGAGAAGGGACGTTTGAGGAAATCCTTGAAGTTGTAGCTGTGAGGGGGGCAGGGCGAGCATATCCCTGCAGTGGGAAGAATGAGGCTAAGGCCTGAGCAGCAGCCTGCCAGCCTTGCCCGAGGGTCCAGCGTGGCCAGAGGGAGCGAGTGACAGCTGGAGGAGCAGGAGATGGGGTCATTCGGGCAAGTGGACAGGGGTCAGGCCGCTGCAGAGACTTGGTTCATACCGGGTGTGATGCATATATCATCTTAGTATTTGGTTTTATTATTAATGAGCCAACTCCAATTCAGTCAGTAGTGAACAGAAATCATTGTTTTCCAAATATATTTGACACTAAAATCTTTTTACAGGACATAATCTAGGAAGAGAACATTTTTAAGAAGACATAAAGACAACTAGAATATGAAAATTCTCCAAAGTCATACTACCACTTTATTTGATTCAGAGTATGGCATACGTTTTATTAAAATGAATTCTTACTAAAAAAAAAAAAAGAAACAAAAAACCCTGCGTTTCTAATGTCATCCGTTTCCCTTCTAAACAAAAACAAAAAATCACGTTTTAAAATCATTAGTATTTGTATCAAAACACTGTCAAGCAGATTATGATTTTAAATATTCATTCATGTATTCAGTTAACATTATTAATAAGCATCTTCCATAAGCTATGCACAACTAAAACATCTAGCAAGTGGTGTGTAAGATCTCACCTCCTGGTGACTGAGACAGAAGGCCTCTTTGCCCCAGTGCCGATACAGTTCGAGAATGCCAATCAAATCGCCAATTGCAGTGACAATTGGCAGGCAAAG